GCTTATAGCTGTGCAAAAGCTTAAAATTTTATTCTTTCCATGCACTGTCCCCCAAACAGATTAATTGAACCTATCAAAATTTAACTTCAGCAGAGCACAGCTATGGTTTGTAGTTCAAAAGGAATTTAGAACGGCTATGACTGACCTTGATAATTGACACCATCTACAGTTTGATCTTCCATGAACTCACCTTCTTAGTGTTATTCCTAAGGGCATGGCACTAGCCTTACTCAGTTTTGAATTTTATAAGTATAACCAGCTTTGGTCTTTCATGTGATATGTGGAAAATTATGGCACTTTCTTCCAAAGGAATAATGAAGTCTGAAAACTTGGTATTTGTGACACACAGAAGTACGGGGCAGAACTATAAGCATGTAGCAAATGGACAGATACTTCATCATAGACGCCCATCATAGAAATATGAAAAAACCAACACCTGCCTCAAACAGTGTATCTGACAGTGGGTGTGTTGCATTTTTATGTTCTGAGGCTTTATTGCTAATCCATTTGCAAATGGACAGGCATGAGGTGTATGGGAGATGGCACAGTAGTTAAGCTCTCTTCCCTGCTGCGTTATCCATGTTACTTTTTGAGTATCCGTGGTACTTTTTGAGGGACTGTGTCTCTTCTGGCTGGGAGTCAGGTTTGGGAGTCTGGTTGATATCAGCAGCTCCATTGTTTCAGGAAATGGAGAGCTGGGCTGTTGGTGGACAGTTTCTTTAGGGATCTTGCAGCAGGATTTCTCACAATGCTTTGCATGGCTTTGGGATCTCTTAACATTGCATGTTTGTAGGGAATGTCATTTGTACCACCATACTGTGGGGATGTTTCTTCCCAAATGTTTATACTATCCCCCTGCAATGGGAGCCCTTTCTCCTCCGTGTTACGGTCATAATACACTTGAATCACTTGTGCTAGGTTTTTAATTCCTTTTCCCTCCTTCTGAAAAAGACTTCATATACTTCTCCGAGTTCTAGGAACAGTAATAAAAAGCACCCTATTCCTCCTCCTCTTGGTCTCTTTTCCCTAGTTTCTTCATCCATCTAGTACTTCTTCCACTACCCTTTTTTAGCATAGAGGAGCTGGGGGGAAAGAGGGAGTCCCCTGCTATAGGTTACAAATGCTCGGGTAGGACGTAATCTAGTTCTTGAATCCAGGAGCTCTGTGGAAGGATGTTGGAACTGGCCATATCAAAGGAAGAGGACAGAGATGTCTTGCATTTGGGGTTGCTTTTACAGCCTTCTCTGAATGTGTTGATATAAATTCAAAACGAGTCCATTGCAAATGGAATTTCCCTGCGTAGAACAGTGCAAAATAAAGGAGATTTGGATTGTTAAACAGGCTATTTAATTCTGCATGTTTTTAGTTTTCTGCTCGTGGATCAAGTCAAACTTGATACTTTTTTTTATTCTAGATGTTTGTGGCAAAGCACTGTCTAACTCTTTATGTCTCAATTTCTTCACTCCTTTGGAAAAGGTTTTCTTTGATAGTGTGTCAAAGCTTATTGAAGTTCTTGACATTAACTACTATATTAAATATAAAATATTGCATCCTAAAGTTGTCTCACTCTAGTTTATGTGACTGTTTTCTTTTGTCTGGGAATTTTACGGACATGTTGTAAGGCAGCAGCTGGAAACCTGCTGCTGTGTCTTGGAAGCCAGCTGAAGTATCATTCTTTGTATGTGCTTTCAAACTACTATTTGGCTGAAGACAGCATAGCAATTCTTCAAGTCTGATATGTCAGGGTGTGCTGATGAGGAACTGTTTTAACTAAGGTGGTTTATTTAATCAGTCTTGTTAAACTGTTTTGACCGTTCAAGCTGGTCTGACATATCTGTGCAGAGCCAGGTCTCATTGCAATCCTACTTAAAGTCAGTTTGTAGGCTATTTTCTTTTAAGACTGATGTTTTGGCCATGGACGAAGGGACTTACTTCTGGCCTGTGAGGTTTTGTTGATTTGTTATAAACTGAATAGCAATAGCTGGGTACTTTATATTAGCAAAAGCAAGCTCTCAAATGTGACAACACTTCTAAAGTAGAATAGCATATTGCCCAGTGGAGGGAACACAGTAACCAAGCACTCTAGTCTGTATAGACTATGTTTTTTCACCTTGCTTTTGTGGTTGACTTTGGGGAGTCGGGTACCTATAGCTACCTCAGTGATCAGATTGGGCTCTGGGCATACTAATGCCTTGCTGGTTGCATGTCCTCACTGCCACCTAAGCTGGTATTGGCTTTTTTTCAGTATTGAGGAGGACATGATTTAAACCGATAGTCTTGGGGTAAAACAGCAAAATAGGATCAAGGTGACTATAAGCATTTCTTACAAAAGGGAAGACTCTGCCCCCAATCCCCAACTTCATGGATTGGACCAAGTCATGCACTTTGTGCTGGTCCATTCCTAGTGGATATGGTTGGCAGCATGTGGCTCAAATAAAGCAAAATCTGCTAACCCTAGCAAAAATTGAGATTTGTTGTTGAACACCTAGTTCCTCTAATATTCCTTTCCTAGTTTAGTGATTCCTGAATCTTGAAAGCTCTGCTTGTAGTATAAATGGAAATCAATAGCTTTAATAATAGAATTTATATGTGTAATGCAGTCTCCTATGGATAATGGTTTAAATCACTTAATAGAGCTTACTTAATATTATTTACTCCTTGACCTCACTAGGAAAAGATGGAAGCTGTGCTATCCTTACAAGCTGCAAACTCTTTGACACTTTGATCGCTGTTCTGGTTGCTGTTCGCATTGACAGCTGCTGTACTGAAAAGAGAAGGAAGGGAAACGTGAAACCTGGGGGCCGTGTGTGATACGGTATCGCAGTGCAGGACAGCATGAATCCGCATTGTGTGCAATTACCAGACAGTAAATCAGCTGTGCTGTGCTAGAGCCAGAAACCAGTAGCTTTCACACTTGCTGCCTGTTTCCCACTCATTGTAAAGCGCTGCCCTATCACTTGATAGTCCTGGAAAGGAAGCGCAGAGGAAGCGAGTGCCACTGCTGGTTCAAAATGTTCCAGGGCGACTGGAAAGTTTGAGCAATGGCCTGGGTGAGAAGAACAAGACCTTATTGACAGGGTTCAATCCTAGTCAAGTCTGTTTCCCATCAACTTCCTAAGTAATCACAGCCTTTCTTTTTTCATCTCCTTTGCATGCTCTGGGTCTCCCACTTTAACCTCCTTTTTATTTTATATATTCATTTATTTTAGTGGACTGAGCAAATAAGGAGAATTGGGAAGTTTTCTTCCCTCTGATCCACCTCTGCTAAATTCTGGAGGAATTACTAATGAAAAAGATGACAATTACATTAAAAGTAACTGTCATCCCCCCTTTGCCCCCATGTTTCTTCAGAGTTTCCGTTGCATATTCTTTTAATTTCTCCTTTCGATAGGGCCTTGTTCTTTTCATTTGATGTACAGAAATACATACTGTTCCAGTGATGCCATGGCACATGTGGTTTGTTGTGTGCCAACTGGTGTTATAGACTCATGGCTGTTCGGTTATGGCACTGTCAAGTTATGTGAACACACACACACACATGTAGCGGGAGAAGTATGTAAGCTGAGACTTTCTTTCTTCGTTTCAAGCTCTTCTAGACTGTGTAAGACTTTATGAAACATTTATACCATAAAGTCACTCTTCTTTTCTAATGCTGTAGTTTTAAACATACAGCAACATGCCCCTTGTACACTGCACCATGCCGTTTTGCATAGACTTATGCATGATTTTGCCATCAGTGTAGTAAGCAGTCTCCACCGGCAGTCCTGCTGCTCTAGGGCCTCCTAGTGCATCTCAAATTTCTTACTTCAGTACGTTATTCTCCTTAAGCTGTCTATGAGACAAAGAAAGTTCATTTAATTGAGGTGAGAGGGGTTTTTCTCTGGAGAAACATGCTTTCAAAAAGAGGACCAAAGAGATGTCTGTTTAGTTTTGCACTTAAATGTCTCTGGCTGTGATCATGGCAGAGCAGATCCACATAATAAAGTTTAAGCATGTAAGCATAGGTGGCATCTCATGGTTTTATGGTCTTTCTGTAGCAAGTCAATTGACTCTGGTGGAATACTCTCACTTATTAAAGGAACAACCAGTTCAAAAAGTCAGTGAAAAGATGCAGGCCCTTTGGGCGTGAGTGATATTCACTGAATTGGTTAGTGAGCACTCTTCTGGAGGGGTAAACTTGGTTGGGTTTGTGATGGTGCATACACATTTATAAGGATAATATGACTTATTGTATTTGGTAATCCTGGCAATGGTGATGCCAAGAAAATCATCTTATTTCAGGAAAACATGTGTTAGCATGTGTTTTGAAGTATTTGCTTTTTGGCAGTTCAATAATTAGAGTTTGACAAGGATTTAAAAGGAAAAAAAAAAAAAAGAAAGAAGAACCCAAACCAATCCAAACTCTCAACCCTCAATGATATATAAAATGTGAAAATGGCTTGTATTCTGTAGTATAAATATAGAGTGTGCTAGGGATGTTTTTGAAAACTCAGTTGGTCAGCCAGGCAGAATTATTGCTGCCTTCAGAAGGCTTGTGGAAGGAGCGCGTGTGTAAGGGAGACGCGAGTGTGACACAGTGCTAGAGAGGCATGTCAGTTTGCAAAGTATGCCAAGCTTGCACCAATTTTTCTAGAATGTTTTTCCTTCCCTATCTCCAAAATAGTTCAAATTCAATAACTGTGGTTAGGATATTTTGGAAAGACGTCCCCAGGCACTTTATGATGGAACTTGGGAAGAGATTCAAGAGACGGGAGTTCTCAACCAGCATTTGTAAGCAAGTTATCTTAAAATATACTGCTTCTTAATCTAAAATTAACAAAAAAGTGTCTATAGTATTTTTAGGTCAGTGTATAAATCTGGAGAAATCAAAGTATATGCTTGTTACCCGGTCAACTAGCTGCAAATTTTTTTTTTTCCCTTTTTTGAGATCTTAACCAGTCCAAATCTCCCAGGCCCATTCACTGTGTTTCTAACATTTTCCTATATCTTACTCTTCCCAGGATGGATCGTACTTGGCTGAGTTCCTGCTGGAAAAAGGCTATGAGGTGAGTAACTCGGTGACCGGCTGCGGGCTGATGGAGTCGTTTGGATGCTGCAGCTCCGGCTTCCTCTGCTTCTGTCCTTCTCTGTGTATGTTTTCCACTCCAGCCCTAGATAACAAATCAAAACGCCGGAGAGGAATGTGCAACATGGCCTGTAATCATGCCAGCTTATTGTACTATTTATCATCTAATGTCCACTGGTGGATTCCCTCTTCTCCTCAGGGTATAGCTGCTTTGCATGTTTCCCGCCAACTCAGATAAGCAGCGACCTGTATGAGCCAAAACTGTAAGGAATTAGGGAATAATTTATGATGCAATGTACCACATAAAGGAATAAGAATCTCTTGTTTGTTCTCTTCCCTCGTCCCCCTCTCCACACTAAAGGCCCTTTTATTTTGGCAGTTGTACTTCAGCAATGAAAACCTTGCATTTTGCTTTCTCTGTTTAAAAAGCAAAAAAAAAAAAAAACCCAAAAATATACATTGGCAGTGTTACTTTCCACCCCTTTTCTTGGGTTAATTATATTCTTGCTTAGCACATGACTTTGATTTACCTTTTCTTTAAAATAAAGGGAGTCTGATTCTTTATTTCTTGCTGCATAACTTTCCCTGGCAAAGTCATCTTTTTTGTGGCCCAGCAAAGCAACAATCACATTATTATGGTATGATTTGATGGTTTTGAACTGTTGTGGGCATATACGTGAGAATGTTTGCCTTCTCAGTCATGAAGATGCTTCCAAAATGTATGATAATGGAAGGAAAGGGGTGGTCAAATTAATCTTCCCACAATGTAGTATTTTCTGGATTTTTAGTAAAAGCTAATGCTTGTTCTAATATTGGATTTTATTACTTCTGTTGTAATACTGCTTCATAGCTTAGTGAGAAGTCTCTTCTCAGCCAGTCTATGCTTTCCATGCTTTTGCACATGGTTAATCTTGCCTTGCTTATTCCGTTCTTTCTCCTTCCTTGTTGATTGATCTGCTTATTGGTGTTGGTTTTTCAGTGTTGTAAATTTATTATTTTTACTATTTCTCCGTTCCATTTGGGGAAGAGAGATATCATTGTGGTTGCTTCCGCTACTTTAAAGGCAAAAGCACATGCTCTCTCCTAGTCCACAATGAAATTGGGAACTGCTAACTGCAACTAAAATGAAATATAACCCTTTCCACCATAGAAAGGTTACAGTAATTGGGTAGAGGTTTTTTCTTCTGTTCCTCAACTCTCCATCTATTTGTTGGATTCTTTCCTGTGTTGTCAGAGACCTGTGTTCCTGAATAACTGAACACAAGAGTACACATGATAATTGATTACCTCCCTAACTAAGGTGGTTCGTTTGACTTTTTTTCATTTCAATCTATTTAAAGATCAAGCCCTATTGAGAAAAATCCACTGATCTTAAAATCCACTGATCTTACATTCTTAACTAGATTAACCAGTTTGCACACATTTTGGCTTGTCACAAAGTTTGCATTTCACCTGTCCCATGCAGACAAAGGTACCTTTCATCAGTTTTTTTACGGTAATATTGCTGTCATGGATTAAGCATTTGGCAGGTTTTCTTTCTCTTGTATGTGCATACCAGAAGAAGGAGTGGGAGAAAAAAAAGAAAAGAAAAAAAGCTGGGTTTGCGTGGTTTCTTGTTATCGCTGGATGCAACAGGCTCCCTGGCTTTGTTTGTTTGCTGAAACTTTTTGAAGTCCTGGGGTGATTGCATTTAGCACATCTCATTGGTCAAATGTTGGTATCACAGTCATTCAGCTGACACAAAGCTCTTGAAAGCACAATCTTTCATCGAGCTTTGAGCTGGCAAGATTTGACTTATTAATAGGTCAATCGTTTGCGTGAACTTGAATTTCAGCATGACTTCATTCAGGGATAGATAATTGAGAGCTCAAGAAGTCTCTCATCAGAACTTTAAGCCAAAATATTTAATTTTGCTGGAAGAGTTGTAGAGCACTTCAGTTAGCTTCCTTTAGAATAATTTGATGCTTTAAAACTGCAAAGTCTAATTTTTTTACTCAGCAAAACAGATGTTAATTTGCGTACTCAAAATATTTCCAGCATCTTTTGCAACAGTGAAGTTTTTTGTCTTTTTTTTTGAAAGTGTTTCTCTTATGTCCTTAAACCTTATGTCCTTATAAATTATCTACACATGCTACAAATAATTATTTTGATGGGGTTTTTGACTACATAACTTTCAAATTTATCTTCATAAATTCATTATTTAATGGAAATTGCTTTTGGGGGGCTGTGTTTCTCAGTTCCCCACTGATCCTCAAAAAGCAAGTATTTTACTCAGTTGTGGAAAGTTTAGGGTTTGAATTGAAGAACAAGGTATGTTGTGAGCCTGTTGTGTGGCTGGGCACACAAGAGATTTTATGCAAGGAAATTGGTGTAATAAATTTGACTTGCAAGTTGTAAAGATGAAGCTATTTGGCTGTTGTTGGAGTTGTGCATACCTTTTTACTCAGTTAAGTTTCAGACTTAAGATGGAATAAAAAGTGGTTTCGGTGTCAATAACCATAGCTTGTGTTATGTGTAAAACAGAAATCCCCAAACAAAACAAAACCAAAACAAAACCCCAAACACTGCCTGTTCCTGCTGGCATATTCTCGCAGGTACGAGTTCACATGAAGTGAGAGAGTAAAGCGATGGCCCAACCCAGCCAAGTGTAGGATGCATCAAAGTGTAAGGGATCACTTTCAGAAATAAAGGGCAGGGAGAAGTGGAGGACAGTCGGATGCTGAAGCTTCATTTCACTTGTGCCAGCACAACTCCTGCAGCTGGTAACCTAAGCTAACATGAATTTTGGCAGCAGGCATGGAGCTGTCTTACATAAGGAGGAAACGGGATCAGTGTTTGAGCAATTTCTCTAATGTATTAGACACAAATGGGCTTTTCTTTAATGTTAGTCAGAACCAGTCGGGTTTTTTGACCGACTTATTTATCGTGGCTGGTTAAAGGAAATTCCCAACCTGCGTTTCAGCCTTAGGCTTGCCTGCGTGTCTCGTAACCCACTGGAGAACTGACTCATGAGGTCCACAAAACAGCACTGACTGTTCTGGCTGTTTTTCCAACACCCCAGAAAGTGAATGACAGCTGTTTTCTAAAATATATTTGGGCAGCTGCTGCCCCTTCTTTCCCCTTGTCTTTTTCTTCCCTTCTCTCCTCTCTGCCTCCTCTCTCCTTTCCCTAGCTCCATCTCCTCTGCTGCTTTTTCCATGCCCATCATCTCTGGCTCCAGGAAGACTTCTCCGCAGCCAGGGAGAAGTGGTTATCTCAGGATTCACATATTGCTTCTCCAACTCCACTAACGTCTCACTCACTAGGAGATGGTGCTCTAGGGCAATTCAGTGTGTTTTCTGTACTGTGTGTAATGCTTAGGCTGCTAGTGGTGTCAACAAGGGAGAAGGTGAAACCACTCAAGGGTAGTAAAATAAATATGACAGCATCAGAGCTCATCTGCAAGTATTTTGTTACGATTTGGATAACTGTCTGCCTTTAGGAATAGAGGCAAGGTCTGATTACCTGAGGGTTAGGGCCATGTATATGAAAAGAGCGATGATGATGAACACTTTCCTCGTAAAGTTTACCACTTTCCTTTTGTATTTTTCCTTGTTCAATCCCCAGGTGCATGGCATCGTTCGTCGGTCTAGTTCTTTTAATACAGGCCGTATTGAACATCTCTATAAGAACCCACAGGCTCACATTGAAGGAAGTAAGACTTTGTTTTTATACTTAAGGGGTTTTTTCAGTCTGTGGTGTGTGTTTGGTGGAGAAAGATCCCCGGGAGCGGGAAGGGTATCTCAGTTTCCTCTATCTAAATGTCATCAAGGAGTAGCTATTTTTAAGATGTGCTTGAATCGGGATTGGTTATTTAAAACAAAACAAACAAACAAAAAACCTTGATAGCTAAGCTTCCCTTTTCTCTGCTTGTGTTAGCTCTGTTAGCTCTCTGCTCTGTGATAGCTGCTCTCTCTCAGAAAGAAAAGTGATGATTTTTCTCTGGAAATGTGACACAAAGTATAGGTACTCCTGTGTGTGTGAGTTACCAAGAGGGGAAAATACAAGAGGGGCCCAGGAAGGGACTTTCTGTTGTGTAGAAATGCTGACACAGTTCACACGTAGCTAGGCAGTAGCAATTAGAAAATGGCTGGGCCTGCAAAAAGCTATGTGAGGTTGAAAACACTGAGATATCAGAATAGTAAAATGTCTTTCTTTTTGAGGCAGTTATCTTAAGCACTCCTCTTCTGTTTCCTCATGAGCGTCTTAGTGCCTGCTGGAGGTGAAGGTTTGGGGACAGCCTGTATGACAGCATGAATAAGACATGATCAGTTCTTACTGATGACAGGAAGAATGAATCTTTGGACCTTCTGAGTTTCTGTACCCAAGGAAACAATTTCCTGTTTTTCCTGAAGGAAAGGCATTGCTCTTGGAAATTTGCTGACAATTTACTGTATTCTCTGTTACCGATGATAATTTGGAAAGCTGAAATTATTACCTTAAGTGTATGCTTTGCAAAAATTGTTTGAGTATTTTACCTTGAAGAAGGTTAACTGGTCACTTAATGAGAAGAAGCTCCAATGTTGGATGACTCTAGTTCAGCAGAAGGATTGAGTGTTTTAACAAGCGTATAGTTCTCTACGCTATGCATATTTTGTAAAGTGTGCAGACTGACACTGTCCTAAATAGTCTGATTTACGGTATTGTTAAGACTAAATATCTCCATGCCGTAAATAAATCTCATGTCTTTTGAAGTCTGCTTCTCACCATGGTTAAACAGAGCCCAATTTTATCAAATTGTAATATATAGTGCAACTTTTAGATTTCACTTGATCTTTGCTTGTAATTTTTAAAAAATATTTAATTTCTGACAAGACTTCAGTGGTATTTGCTGTGAATAGTTGCTACTTACTGTACATTGCTCCTTAAAATATCTGATTGAGAGAGGGGGGAAAATTGAATAAAATATCTTCAAGAATAATACTGAAACCTGTGCTTCTGTCAAGAACAATGTTAAGAACTGTTTCCCACGACACATTCATGGCTCACAAGGTAAAATGAAGCAAAAGAAGTCAAACAAGAACCTGTGCATTGTGAGGACCATCTTGTGAATAAGAAAAGTGATTTGAGAAGACGATGTAGATTGTGATAAATATGTATATGAAAATTTAAGGAAAGGGATGGAAAAAAGGAAAAAGAGAGCAAACCTTAAATGTTTTTCTCCACTTCTTATCTCATTTTCCTTTAACTGAGGAATGCAGCCATATGAATGGGAGGAGGAGGAGGAATTGGACTTGGAATCTCAGGAAAGGCTGCTCCATGGAAACTGTTTGGAAACAATGGGTTTCCAGGCAGTACTGGAGGAAGCAAAGAAGCAATAGTGGTTGATGTGAGCAAACCCTAATTTTGTCTTTGCCCTATGTGTTCTTCCCATGAGGAATTGATTACATGTTGCAAGATGATAATCTTCATAGACAGTGAACCTCTTTATAAAAAAAAAAAAGTAGGGAGAAGAAGAAGGAAAACAAGTTTTTTCCTGAAGTGAGCCCTCCAGCTATTGCTTGCTAAGGAGGTTTTTAGGTTGGATAATATTATTAAAACCCAAAGGTTTTTTAACCTTTATAAATCTTATTTATAAGATTTTATAAATCTTTGCACCAAATAAACCCCATTTCTAGTAAGTCTTTCCACTTAGCCTATTATTCTTGAAAGACCCCTTTTTCACGGGTCAGAAAATGAATAAAGCCTCATGCCCTGTTCCCCTTCAAAAAAGCCATTTGGACAAGAAGCTTTGAAGACTGGATGGTAGACCAAAACGGGCATTCCCCTTTGAGAGCTTTAAATTTAAGGTAATTGTGGGAGGGTATCTCTGAATCTCAGCTCAGCCCAGCTGGCAGCCTACCTTCCCCTGGGAAGCTCTGAGATTGCTCTCTGGCCCGGGGAGAACTGGATGTCTTTGGAGTAGGAAGAGGGAGCCTGGCTGTGACACCTCTTTCCTGCTCAGCTTCTGCTTAGGCTGGCGAGGAGCCAGTTGCTCTTTCAGACCTTAAGGTTCCTACAGAGCTGCTGCTGCTCTCTGGACCTTCTTCCAGTGTCCTCTGCTCCATCCTCTCTTGAAAGGCTGGCTTAGCTGGCAGGGAGATTTCGTTTGACTCCCAGCCAAGGTAAGCAGAGGAAGAAGAGGACACCCTGCTGCCTAGGGGAAGCTTTCTTTTCTGGTACAGAAAGGGTAGTGCATTTGGTTCTTCCCTGCTCCCACCAGCCCACAGAGTTGTCCTTCAAAAGGTGGTAACTGCCATCAGAGAAATCGGTTAGGTGGTGCTTGCTCTTGGTCTCTGTTTAGAAAAATGCAGCAGTTATGGTGGTCTGGACACCACCAGTTTTGAGGATTGCAGGTTAACACCAATATCCAAATAGTTTTATCCTATAACCATTTGTGATCTTGTGCATGCTGTGGCTCACAGGCAGAACTGGTTTCATGTATTGAATTTCATTTGGGAAGCAGGACAGTTGCATTCCATACGAGTAGAAATGCGGTGGTGTTCCAGCACAGCCTGTATAGAACTGGTGGCGGGAATGAAGGCAGCGCACACCATAGATAATTGATGTGTACGCACAAAACTGGTCATACCCTGCTTGCCAACCCTCATATTTAATCACAGTTACTCTTTCTTTTAAAAAAGAAGTTGCATTACCATTCCCTTACCTGTTAGCCACAGCTTCAACTGGGTCTTGAAGTCTCATCAGAAGTGTCCTTTTCAAGAAATGTGGATGTAAAAGCAGATTTCAAGAACATATTGTGACCTGCTGGGCTGTGTCACTTTATCAACCTGAAGAGCCTCAAGTACCTGTTGAATAGGAGTGTGCAAAGCTGAACACCTGAGAACTGTGTGATCTGTTACTTCCTTGCTGCCTTAAACTGTTTAAAAAAAAAAAAAACAAAACCCACCATAAAAAATGCCAGAACAGCTTAAATAAAAACAAAGTTCACATATCTCTGCAGCATTTTAAAAAAAATGTACTGTGGATTCATATGGTAGTCTCTTGTAACAAACCTTGTATTTCTTGGTTTCAGGATTAAAAAAAAAAAGAAAAAAAAAATCAAGTTGATTTTATGTGTAGATGATACAACCCCATTGTCAAATGGGAAGACTGCTAAACTGTACTCAAATAGGAATTTCTTCTTTTTCCTGGAGATAAGGCAATGTAAACATAAATTTATGAAGGTCAAAAACAACAGTAAATGTAAACAGCTAATTCATCAATAGTTATAACAGGATTTTTCTTTTTGTTGAATAGATATGTGAATAGCAGTGTGGTGATGTGATTTTTTTTTTTTTTTTTTTTTAGAATAATAGGAAAATGCAACCTGTTGTATCAGAATTAATTTCACTTCTGGAATAATTTCTTGACAGGTCGGGATCTGAAACCAGGGACAAGTTGATAAGCCATTGCAACCTGCTCTTTTAATTTTGACAGGAGCTGGTCTCATGCTCTTACCTATTTTTTCACACACAAATTAGTAACTCAGTTGGGAAAGGATAAATAACAGCTGTGTGACTGACATATCTAACCATATTTGAGATTTTGGTGTGTAATATCATGAAGCATGTTTCATTGACAGTTACAGTGTTCTCTGAAATTCCTTTCCAGTGTGTATCTGTATTTTTTAAATGGAAAAGCAATAGTAATAAAAGCAATGTATTGTACTGTAATGTTACCTAAATGTTTATCTTGTAGGTACCTTAGGCAGTTTTGTTGTGTTGTGAAATTATTCGCAGTGAGGAACTTAAACATGTGCAATGTTTCGGGAAGGAGGAGAAAGCTATCAATGTATGCTTAAGTTATTAAAAACCTTTGTGAGTGAAAGATTGGAAGCCTAAACTAAAATAATGTGGGTTTTTTTGTGGCTGAAATTCTGTATATGACATTGATCTAATTTATACAACTTGGGTTAATGAAGTGTAAACTATTAAACAAATGATATAAATGTTGCTAGGTAAATCAGATTATTGAAAAGAAAATCTGAAATGGTATTCATTACTCCTGCAGGAAAATATATTTTGTGCTTAAAGCAGGGAAAAAACCCAAGCAAAACCTTGTTCAGCCAGTGATGTCTTTACTTTTTCCAATAAATGTTTACTTGGATTTTAAACCTGGAATAGGATTTGGACCAAGAATGCCATATTGTTCTGGGACTAAAGTGTATTAACTCTGTGTTCTTAACCTCTGAAGACATGAAGCTGCACTATGGTGATCTCACAGACAGCACCTGCCTGGTGAAGATCATTAATGAAGTCAAACCCACTGAGATATACAACCTGGGAGCTCAGAGCCATGTCAAGGTGAGTGGCTTCTAGCACTGAGAATTGTGAATGTGCGTTGGTGGTGGTATACTGCTTCGATTATTTTAGACTGCAGCATTTATAGCCGTTTTAACAACTGCTAACTTTGACAGGTAAACACTGCCTTAAATCACGATAGTTGTGTTTTCTGCGGTGCTGAATTACTGCACGAGTCTTCCTACTGAATATAAATTAAGATGTCAGAATAAGTGAAGTTAAATTGTCATTATCAACAAAATCCGCAGCTTTAACATCTGATTTTTCTACCATGTGAAGCAACTTCTGCTGTAGAGTTTGCTGCTGATCCGTCCTAGTGGGGAAGTTGTGCAGTGTTGTTAGGCCAAGCAGCGCTTAGAACCATGTTATTCCATTTGCATTAAAATCAATACGTGTATCTGAGTGCATCACTTCTAGAAAGGCTTCACCTATTCCAGTTTTCGTGCAGGTGGTATTATTTGAAAGATTGACCTACAAGTAGAGAAAACAGTTTTGCTAGTACTTGCAGAATTATAACATTTCTGGGTTTTTGGTTGGAAAAATCAAGTTGTAGAAACTAAAACAAAAAGCACTTGTTGAAGATGAGTAACTTGACCCTGGCAAGTACTGCTGTATCCTTTCATAAGGAAAGAAAATTAATTGTAGAGAGAATAACTTTAATTTGCACTTTACATATGTTAAGCTACATTGCTGTATCCTGTAAAGCTCAGTTTGCTAACAGGTGGCCTCCATTTACTCGCAAAAACCTCATTCATATTTCACTTCACGATTACAAACTGAAACTGATGGCCAGGTAGCAAATTGTCATTAAAATAAATTGTGTGTCAGTCATATGTCCTGTCCTTACTATGTGCAATGTGAAAGTATCCTTATGTGGTAATATTCCTTGGCCTCTCTTGAGGTGAGAACTGAATGAGCATTTAAGACTCATGAAAATCGGGTTGGCTTTAGTTTTGTAAGTCAGCCTTCCTACAAAAAGCAATGTGTTGTTCCTATTACTCTGTAAGCCCTGAAACCCAGCAAGATGAAATCATGTTGAAAGACTGCAGTTATTGACAAGACAAACAGCAGAATATAGAGATGAAATGGGAACAGTTTTGCTTTTTAATTGCTTGCATGATTGAATTATCCAGTTTGCTCTCTGCTAAACGTGAGTCTGGTTGGGTTTATTAGCTTAGGTACAACAGTATAAGAACAAGGCTACATGAGTCCAAGGGCACCTTTGGTCCAGAAAGCAATTTAACTGCTGCTTTGCAGAGTGAAACCTGAGCCAGCAAACCTTGCTGGGTATTTGCAGTCCACACCTAGGTGTTCCAGCATTTCTTTTCTTGAACTGGTGCATTGGATAACAATCTCCATGGAAAGTACTTGTGTCCCTTAGGTGGAGTTAGCATGGTACTAATGTTCTGGTCCCAAACTATCTCCATGTGGCTGCTGCAGCTGCCAACAGCTCAAATCACAGCTCTGGGAAGGTTTATTCCTCAAGTATCTCACTGCATGAACATTTTGAGCCAATGCAGATCTGGCACCGAGTCTTGGCTTTTGGAGGTCTAATGTGCCTTGGAGCACAATGAGAAGACATCAAAATGGCTCTCTTAAAAGCTAGCCTGAATGCAGCAGGCCAATACTTAGGCAATGTTAGAAGTCCTGTGGGAAGTCTAGATGGACTTCTTCGGGGTGTGCTTATTATGCTTCCTAGCATCTCCAGTAATACTTCTGTTGTCGTAGCTGAGGAGAGAACCTAGGCACCCCAAGTCTGTTGACTGAGGTGATTGGGGGACTTGACTATGGTATTGATAGGACTTAAATGCAGTCCAACAGTGCTTACCATTTTAAAACAATTTCCAATGTTAGAAGAGGGAGTAGAACTTGGCCACCCATTAGGGGTGAATGTCTTCAGCAGAGACCTGAACAGTTCTTACCATTAAACTTTGGTTATGTAAACTTACTGTGTTTGCCTGTGTGCATCATGTTTGGGGAAGGAGGGAAAAGCACTTCTAATCTTAGTTTACTTCACATTCTGGTGACTTTGAACCAGTGACGTCTTCAGTATTTTTTGGTGGTGTTTATGTTGGCTTGTGTTTATGCAGAATAAAGTTTTCTATCACTCTCACTTCCAGTTAGTTTATGTGAGCCATGCTGAAATGAAGGAAAATAAAAATAATAGGAAGTTGGTCTGGTTTCCTGTAGGAAACCAATGAAGATGAAATTGGTTCTTGGAATGAACCCACAGTAGTCTGGGAAATACTGTCAGAGAAGACGTTTTTCTGAATCATAAATAGTGAGGACTATGACTCATAAAGTAGGTCACTGAGAGGCTGATCTGATCTTGTACATGGGAGAAAGTGAGAGTGGACTGAAACTTGCTCCTTATTAAAAACAGTAAACTTAACAGAATTATATCATCAGTAGGAACAAATTATCCAGTGTGTATTCCTGTCTGTTTTGGTGAGAAATGGGGATTAGCTCTCAGCACTCTAGCTTGTCCATTGGATGTTCAGAAAACAGTAGCACATTCGCTTCATAGTTACTAAGTAAACAGTTTAGCCTCATTTTGTCTATCCAGTCTTTATATGTGCTGCTGCTTTGGCTTTTGGTGCTTTGGGAATCCGGTGTGCTGACCATGATTTGTTTTCATTTAATTAGGTTTTATGGGAGTAATTGTTTACAGTATATTGATTCTAAATAATAATCTATTATTATGTGCATGCAGATGGCTTAATCTAAATTCTGCTATCCATAACTCTATACTCATATCCCTCTGAATGTCTTGAAAATCAATTATCCAAATGCTAGGTTGGCTAAAATAAGATATAAATGTCTCTTCTTGCACAGTGTTTCAGTAGATGCACACACATAGATATGAACTTGTAACTATTTTTTTCTGAAGGACAAGTGATCTCATCAGTATTTGACTGTGCTGTAAGATTTTTTGTTTTGAATTGTATTGAACCGGTGAAGCTGGTAAATATTTTTTTTCCAAATTTCTGAAGCAAAAAGGCAGTGTAACCTTAGTAAAAGATCTCTTGCTTTCAGCACTTGAAACTTGTTGCACCGAGCAGTCAAATGTAGGACTGAAAAAATGGCTCAAGTTTTATGGCTATTGCTATCCTAGTAGTCATGTATTAAATAGCCTAGTCCAATCTGGCTGTAGTGCAGATAGCCACAATTGCTCAGTTTATTTCTTTAAATTGTATTGGGTAGTAGAAGGTTATTTTGCCTCCTTACTGTTGGCATTTGTTGCCAGAAATTTTATAGCGAATGTGTTTTATGCGATAGGAAAATAATGGGTTGACTTTTCTGTGATAGCTGTTCCTTACATATGCAACATGGACGTATTATTGAAGAGTAAAACTTGCATGTAACTACATTTTAAAAAGCCAATAAATGCTCGGTGTGTTTTTTTTCACCTTGCAAGATGCATATAGGGTTTTTTTGTTCTTTAGTTTAGGGGATATTAAGGTTCTATTTAGTTTTAAGACCTTGCAGACATATGGGTGCTTGGAGTCACGCAGGAATTAATTTTAAGAAGCAAACCCTACCACTGTTAGCTGAAAGGTGAAATGTAAAAATCAAGAGGCTTTTAGCATATAACCCCTCACTTGAGTAAGGATCTCTTTACACTTATCTATTGAATTCAGCTTTATCTCTAGCTCCTCCATTTTTCCTTCTATATTTTTGTGCTCTCCAAAGAGAAGGCCTTCAGTCTTGGGAGGCCTTTAGTCTCTTCTTTCCCCCATGCTGGCAAAATTAAAGAACTTATTCATTTCTGATTATTTTTCATTTTTATCGCATCAAATACTGACCCCTAATTGCTATGAAGCAAACATGTTATGAACTACTAATTGATTTCAACCCCATGTCTGTTAATGTGACTATGTCTGTTTCCATGCTGCATGGAGGGTGAAGTGGCAGCAGGGAAGATGAACAAACAAAAAAAATAGCACCAAGGTCTTTAGAACCCATGGAGCAAAATTCCAACTTGTGTAAAAACCTGTGCTCACCTGTGTCTCTACTGCATCCTGAAGTTATAGCTTGCATACTGGGTGGTGGGAAAGTGGGATTGCTGCAGGGAGAGGAAACTTGAAGTACACAAGCAAAAGTTTACATCATATAATTTTACAGAATCACAGCATGGTTGAAGGTTGGAAGGGACCTCTGGAGACTGTCTAGTCCAACCCTCTTACTTAAAGCAGAGTCAGCTAGAGCAGGTTGCAAAGGACCCTGTCCAGTCAAGTTTTAAGTGGGATGGAGATTCGACAACCTCCCTGAGCAACCTGTTCCCTCACCTGTGCAGTTCCATCACCCTCACAGTAAAAAAAAACAACACCCACCACCACAAACTTTTTCATATTTTTAAATGGCATTTCCTGTATTTCAATTTGTGCCCATTGCCTCACCTCCTGTCACTGGATACCACTGAGAAGAGTCTGTCTCGGTCATCTTTACTCTTCCCACCACCCACCAGGTATTTTTATACACATCAGTCAGATCCCCCTCTGAGCCTTCTTCAGCCTAAACAAACCCAGCTCTCTCAGCCTCTCCTCATATGACAGATGCTCCAATCCTTCAGCCCTTTGTGGCCCTTTGCAGGTCCATTATGTCTGTACTGGGAGCCCAGAATTCATGGTGGTCTCACCACTCAGCACTGTAGAGACAAAAAATCACTTCCCTTGACCTTCTGATGACGCTTATCGTAATGCAGCTGAAGATGCTGTTGGCCTTCTTTGCTGGCTCATGGTCAACATGGTGTCCAGCAGGACCCCCAGGCCCTTTTCTGCCAAGCTCCTTCCCAGCTGGTCAGCCCCCAGCATGTACTGGTGCATGGAGTCATTCCTTTGGAGTTGCAGGACTTTGCACTTCCATTTGTTGAACTTAACGAAAATCCCTTCTGCCCGTTTCTCCAGCCTGTT